TACTAAGGAAAAAAAATAAAAAGAAAGAGGCAAACAGAAATCAGTGCTCCTGCTCTGGCCTCCAAAGGATCTTTCTGCACTCAAACCTGGTTTGGCCACAAGGGTTTTAGTTGGCACAGTTTGCCTAGAGGTTGTTCACAGCACCCAGAGTACCATGCCACAGCACTCCTTTGCTGCGTGCCAGTAAAACACTGTGGCTTTCCAGCCAGGGGTGGTTTTCAGTATCATTATCACTGGAAAGAGGGGCCCTGTGGTTTTGGTACGGGCTGCCCTGGCTCCGAGGCTGCGCCAGTACACCCGCCTGTTCTCTGGCCCCGAGTCCAGCTGGTGTAATCCAGCCACTTTCATGCTCTTAAACTTTCTCACCTTCCTGAACACAGCGGCCACATCCGACCTGCCTTGCGGGTTCAGTTCCTGGTTGTGCCGACTTCTGGCCCATGGCTGGGGATCATGTGGTCGGTGGTAGCCAGCCGAGGCCGCTGTTGGGTGGGTTACACCCTGGGCTAGCAAGTCCCAGCGCCCAGGAGCATCCCCTTGTGCCTTGGTGACCAGGCTCCCAACCCTGAGCTGTGCATCTTGGAGCAGAGCTTGGCCTTGACAGCCCACAGCTGGGGAAGGATTGGGAATCCTGATGTTACACTAGTTCACAGCATTTAAAAACAAATAAATACCCATGAAACACATGGCAAGGGTTATTACTTCAGCATGTATAAAGGAGACATTGAAGTGACAGGGAACTTCACTTCCCACTTTTTGAGGGGATAATACAAACCAGCAGAGCAGAAAGAAATCCAAAACATCATTTATCAAAGCAGCAACAGAGTTTTCTGTCAAAGGAGAGATTTCACAACAAGGATGCTTTTGGCATGGGTGGATTCACGGCAAAAAAATGAAGCAATGGGGATGATATATGATCGTTTCTTTGCACACAGTGCTGAAAAGCTTTCAGAAGCTTTATAAAATTAGAGCTACTTATGTTTAACAGCTAAAATGAAAAGGTGGGGAGGGAGTGCTTCCCCCGTGCAGTTCTCTAGAAGCAGAGCTCATGATTGTACTCAGCGGGAAACATGCTACTCATCGAGCACTCTCAGCACCTTCCCTCCCACTGAGCTGCAGGCACAGGGGAAGCTCAGTGATTTGCAGAATTGGGTCCTTGCTTTTGTTCCTCTCGCCTCTCTCCCTCCCCACATACTCTCCACCCTCCCTTTGACACACACAGATGGAAAGACTGATGATAACACGCCAATTAGGTTATTTGAAGCCTTGCTACTAGCTACTCTAAATGCAGGCACATGAAGCAGCAGGATTCTGCTGGTGACATTTGGACCACAAATGAAGTCCCCAAGAGTAATAAACAATCAGGTAAAGAAATCTGGAAAGAAATTACCCAGCACACCTCGTCTTCTTGGCCCCCATGAGATCCATATAAAATGTGTTAATGCATCTGATTATGATCTAAATTATGTACAGAGGCTCCTGCCAAGCACTCTATGAAGTTTCTTTATTGTTAAGTTGGAAGCTGTTTAAGAATGGTCCAGTCATCATGTTTCAAATTAGATTTGGGAAAAAACATTTTCCTACTTTATTGCTGGCTCAGAACACAGGTTTGTGGGAAAAGGTCGATATGCGGTTTTTCTCTGCTGAAGAAAGAGCAGAAGTGGTGACAGAACAAAAGAAGAGTCAGTCTATTACCTGTCCCTGTATCATAACCTGAGCTATGTGGATTTACTGTACACAGACATGTCAGAAAACGACTGCAGTTTCAGCTGGCTTTCTAGATGTGTTTTTTCCAAAAGGGAGGTATAAACACCAAGGTGTTCTCATGCACACAGTTCAGGGACAGTAAAACTTTGAAAGAAAGGGTTTCTGAAAATTAAGAGTTTGATGAGAATGGCTTGCAAAACATCACGTGAGACTTTCACCATGCCTGTAAGGGCTAGCTGAGCAGTCGCTTACGCTGCCAACAAATCATTGTGTTGCTTGGAGGTAGGTAAGAAAGCCATTTTTCTCCCCAGTATGCCGTACCAACATTGGAGCTTTTTAAAGAAAACTGATACACACCTCCCAGATATATGTTCAATACATACAAGTTTGGGAGAGCACCCACAGTTTTACATGGCAAGCCTGACAACCTCACTTGCAGTTAAAACTCTGCCAACCCAACCTGTGTTTTATCTCCTGCTGGCATCTGACCGAGCCTTCACTGCACTGATCAGCATCTCCTTTCCACTGCATTGCTGGTGTCCCAAGTTAGAAGCAGAGCCAAGGTCACCTTGCTCAGAAGAGCTGTTTTTTAAAGGAGGGTCCCTGCATATTAAAGGTCTTCCATCTATTACCTCTGCCCTTCCAAATACACAGTTGTAGCAACAACTACATAAATTTGGACTAAGCAGGGACCTATGGAAGAAAGCTAGCATATAATAGCTCTTACATACTTGTTTTGCTCTATACATGCATATAAATACACACACATACATATATATATATATATATGCGCCAGATACCTGTCTCCACCTCCTCTCAAGGTTCACAGCTGATTTTTGGTATAGCGCTTAATACTTCATACCCATCACTATAGTGTCCAGTATAACAGGCATTTTAAGGTATCAACCCCACCCAACCCCTTTGGTATGTCAACACGGTCATTTGATATGCACAACAACTGTTGGACACATTTAATATTGCTCCACAGAATGACATTAGAAGTTAAGCATTACAAATCCAAATTACAAATGCGTGTGCTAGAGCCCACATTCGAGCAGCTTCGCTTCCACCTCAAAACACCTCGAGTCGGGCAGCAAGGAAAACAAAATGCAGAGATTGATGCAGATGTTAAGCCTAAGTGTTGAAGTGCGGTGTCCTTGGCCTATCTTTTAGCGTTTGTTCCTGAAAACATCAACTAGGCAACAAGGCAACTATGCCAGTGACCAACACTCCTGCCTGCGGTGAAATTCAGCACAGACATAAGGACTGAACTCAGAAGTTAGCTAGCACGTGTAAAACTTGGCCCGAGCCAGACCTTGTTATCCGCAGATCTGCAGGAAATCAGGGATCAGAACTACCATTTCTAGCCATCATGGTAATGTAGCGGTTTAAACACCAAAAAATGCTTTAATGTAGGATCACAGGCTGGATCCCAGCCAGCCAACAGCACTACTTTAAAAGGCAATATTTATCTCTACAGAACACTTACTAAACAACATGCTAGGTGCTTGAAAATAAAGCCTTTGCTAAACAACCAGATTTTAACCTGAAATTCTGCACGTTGGCATTCTCTTCTGCTGCAGGTAAGACCAATTCCCTTACACAGCATGCTTATTTTCTCTCTTTCTCTTTTTAAAAAAAAAAAAAAAAAAAAAAGAATTTTCTCTTTCAGTTTAACTTTGAGGCAAGATGGAAGACCACAGCCTGGCCTCAAAGACATGAGATCTTTTGAACGCAAAGTCAGCAGGCTCTCACAGGAGCTGAGCTTCAGGGCTGCTCTGGAATAAATCAAAAAGGATTTACTCTTTCACTTGAACAAGGCAGAAAAAAAAACCCTAGATGTACAGATATGTCATTGGGGGTGGGGAGACAGCTAACAGGTTAAAAAAAAATAAAACCGGCAACTTAGAAGAGTGCCATTATGGCTTGATTACCACAATCCCATAAGCTAAACACTAGCCTGCATGGTTGGATTTCCTGGAGGAAATCACCATCGCAGTTGCTAAGTCTGCTGGAAACGGTTCAACCCAAGTATATATGGAGCAGATGCTCCAATCATGACACACAAGGACACGGCGCTCCAGGAGAAATCTTCTGACAGCAAGTCAAAACAGGGGCTTGAACTGGTCATGTGTCATTAGAGATGCAGCTGTGATTTTTTCACAGATTAGTAGAGTTCAAGGCCAAAAGGAACCCTGAGAGCACCTAGCCTGCTTCTTGCTGTATCACGGGCCATTACATTTCATCCAAGTTTTCCTAAGAGCAGGAGTTAGATCTGGCAGCCAAATCCCAACCTGAACAACTGTGGTGGCTCCCAGTAACAACCCATGTGCTACTTCTACTCAAAAACTCAGGCTGCCAGAGTAGCTTTGCATAGGATGCAACTGCCTCTTGGTGCCCTTGCGTCCCTCTGCCAGAAAACACCGCTCCCTGGCGAAGGCAGAAGGGACTCCACGCTCCAGCCACTTTGCTTCACACTTGACACCTTTGCTCAAGCCCAGATCCATCAGCAGTTTTGACAATACTCAGGAGTTTGCCTGAAGGAGCTCAGCACAGGGCACAAAATCTCATCCTCTGGCTTCATTACAGGAGTGAGAGGAAAACTGGAGAATGAGGAATGTGCTGCTGGCAGCAATCTCTAGCCTCTGCAGTGAGATTGCCTATGGTTCCCAGTCAGCCACACACCCCCGCAATAGCTGCGCATCAGCACCCATGGGCTAATCCTTACACGGTGAACCTACCTTGGTTACAAAGTGTTTTAGGACAAGAATCTGCCCCACAAATGATGCTAAAGAAGAAAAATTTTCAGATCACGCACGCAGTTTCAGAGCCCAACTCCCCCAACTGAGCTGTGTGCAGGGATTTGGCTCCCGAGGCATCCAGACACTGAGCCGGCAAGCTCAGACCATTAGTGACATTCAAGACTGCTTTTAAAATCAGAATTTAAACTGCTGAAATGAGAATATTGTGAAATACCACTTCTTTGCCTGCAGCTCTGCCAACTGAATTTGGCTAAAACTTTCAGCAAATAATAGATGATTAAATAGAAGTTGATGGCCAAAAAAATATGTAAGAGGCTTGATTAAGACTCCATGGGTGACACTGGTACTGGTGCTGCCTGACTTTACAAGCTTTGCCCATTTCACCGTTACTTTAACTTGACTATGGGGAGAAGAAAGAGTGCTGCTAAGAGTGCAGAGATGTTTTGGTAGGCTGTGTTAAAATACAGCAAGGGAAGAGCAATCTAATGCCAGGCATGGAGCAGACTAACACTGCAGTGCTCGTTTGTGCTTTACCTTCTGTACCTTGGCTCCTTGGCTCAGACCTGTCCCGCATCACACATCGACTCCTTCACTACCTTTCTTCTTCCTCCCAGCATTGATCTCAAGGGTTCTTCTCCTGTTTAACATAAAAACGCAAACAAAACCACATATACCTAAGAAACATATTACCCATCGCCTAGAGGCACTGTGCAAGAGAGGCTGCCTATTAGCACATTGACTAAGAACACTGCTTCCAGACCATCTCCAAACAGATGAGAGATTCATGACAAAGTTGGTCGTAAGCCTGAAAGCTCCCACGGGCTCGACAATCTGGGCTGCTGGGGAGTACTGGAGGCTGGAGGACAGCTGCTGAGGAGATAGGCACAGGATTAGGCCCAAGGCAAAGGACACCTCCTTGGGTGCTACGATGCCTAGAGCAATGATGCACATCCTTGGCTCCTGCATATTCCTCAGCACAGCAGAGACTCACAAAGGGAGTGCAGGGCATCCGTAAGAAAAAGCAAACCGGCCAAAATTCCCCAAGCAAAAGTTCTGATGACCTGGACTCCTGGCCTGAGCACCTTCCATTGGCAGGAACACCAGGAAAATTAACTCCAAGCCTCCCGTACCTGAATTTGATACTTTGGCTTATAAGGGCAGTATGCACACTTACAGGGACAGCCAGGTCCAGAAGGATGTGAGATATGCTCTTGGTTGTCAGCCCTGCCACTGACTTGCTGAGTTACCTTCACTCCACCAAACCCTGGCCCACTACCTGAAGGCAGGGATAAGGACACTTTGCTTTGTAAGAGCCAGTACAACCTACAGCAGCAGAACTGAAGGGGTAAATGATCAGCACACTTTACAAACATTGTTGCTGACACCTCTCTCTAAACGAGACAACCTAGAGAAGTGATATTTCAAATCCTTTGCAGCTAAATGGGATGAGATGTGGGTCACCAGCTCTGCACTCCATCAGCTAAAAGCCAGCTTGCAGACGTTCCCTGCTCCCTTCACAGAAAACATTCCCACTGCAACACCTGGCAACCGATAGCTCTCAAGTCGCATGCACTTGAGCATTTCCCACAAAAAAACCAAAAAACAACAACAACAAAAAGCCAGGTTGTTCCATAAGCACCAAGGTCAAAGCCATCCAGTCTGACCTGTTGCATGACATACCATGAGCTCCACCCACCAGTTCCAGCCTCAAACCCAATAACTCACAATGATTTTTCATCCAGCTTTTTCCCTAGTGCAAATCCTCCCTCAGACACGCTTCTGCTGTGAACAGCTGTCTGATCTCAGCAGCTAAACACATAGAAAACTGAAACAAAATAAAATACCTTTTGTTAACCAAAGTTCAAGGCTTCAGGACTATAAATCAGCAGGTGATGCCTTTGCTGTAGGTGGCATTTGCTTTTGTTTCAGAACAAAAAGCGCTCCACATCAGGGCCATCCACATCCTGCCTTCACCCTCCTACACAGCCTTTCGGACAGTCACAGTTTTGGCGGCCAGTACAAGCGGAGCGTCCCAAGCGTCCCTCTTCCCACCCCTACTCTTACTAATGCGTTCCATACTTGCAGCCTTTCACACAGTCCCAGCTCCACCACCACTCCTGGCAGGGGGCTGGTGCTGGGCTCTGGTGATGAGACTGGAAGCTGCTTATAAAGGCTGCCTCCATCCTTTTCACTTTGGCTAGCAAAACGCTTCCCAAGTGCCTACATCTCTGGGCTACAAAGAAGTAAAACACATCATGAACATAGCTCTTCTCTCTCTTGGCAGGCTGCAGGACGTGGCACGTTTCCATCTGCACAAGGCTCCAAGATGTTTGCAGAAATAGGAACTAACTGCCACAACCTCTCTAGCCCTCGCTCTTCCCTGGACTGCAAAACTCTTTCCAGAGCTCTCTAGAAATGACGAGTGAAGATGTTACTCAAGAGCCACAGCTGATGATTTCATTTCAACATGCCCTGCAAAATGCACGCTTCAACACTCACCCACACTACACGAACCCAGCATCTGTATGCAACCCTCGCTGGCTCTTTAAGATCTGGAAATGTTTTATCACAAGCTTTGAATGCGTACAGTTTACAAAATAAAAATCCACATTGGTTAAATTATTTTTTTCAGTCACAAATCACTCTGGGTCCCTGAAACTCTGAACACCTGGGGCAAAGGACTCAAGGAATCAGAGCACCTGGAAATGTGATGCCCAAATTCACATCAGCCAAATGAACCACTCTCCCAAGAGCTTAGGGGTTTTTTTTTAAAAGCGTAATTCTAATGTAAGCTCTGAAAAACATTAGGGTGCTCATGGGTTAAATGCTACTTTACAATAAAAGCAAAGCCCCTTCTCTAATAAACACTGTGTAACTTATATAATGTAAAAATTACAGCATATATTAATGACAGTGATCAAAATACAATATTAACAGCAATAATAGTACACTAGCACAGGCTCACCCGAAAAGAAAGGCAGTTTCTCCCTACTCCCCATCAGAGAAGCAGTGGCAAGTAGCTGTTATGACTTAATTTTATTTTTTATTAGTTTTTACAAGCAAGCTATGCTAAAAGGTTGCACCAGTAATTTAAACTGCAGTTGTCAGCAGAAGTGAAGGACATTGTGGGATACATTTTATTCTAGCTCTTTTTATTGCTTGGCTCCTTGCAGTGATTCAAGCAGCTTAAGGATTTTAGAGGTACTGTCACAACAATATCTGGCCTTCAGCAAGCTGCCATTTAAAAAAAAAAACAAACAAACAAAAAAAACAAACGCCAAAAAACCCCAGCCTTTAAAGAACTGGCTGGACCAGCAGAAGCTGTTCAAGAGTCAACAACTGCTGATTGCTACCAAATTGTTCCCTCACAGGGACATGCACTTTCTCTGATGTTATTCTCGCTTGACAGAATGGGAAGTGGCTCTGTAATACGTGGTAAATGCTGATTTTTGCAGCTCTGCCAAAACACACGCACATATACATACATGCATCGTGACTCTCCCCGCCATCAGTGGGAGCCAGCAGCGCTCTGGCACACATCTGCTGTGACATGGCAGGCAACGTGCTGCTTCATGTCCCTTGGGCTAAAATCAAGCATGGTAGTGTGCAATGGGCTCTCCATGGGATGGAATCTGGACAGACAGCACACATTGTAATTAGGCATTGAAGGAGACCTTGTGCTAATTTGCTTCTAAACAAGCCTCACCCCTACGCGCAAAAATTAGCTCCTCTGTAATGTGTGCTGTGATTGAAACGTGGCTCACTGAGGTGCTGCTGCCACACACAAGGGACCCAGCAGAAGCAGGCTGGGGTGGTCGCCTCCTCCAGACCTGGTCCCAGGAGATGGAGAGGAGACACCAGATACCCCTGGGGTATTTATTTCACCATGACCAGTGCTGCCCCATCAATCAAAGGCAGGTAATGACACTTCCCTGTTGTGCCAGCCCCTGAAGGGGATAAGCAGAGGACTGGAGCACAACATGGCTGGCGCAGATCCAACCCAGGAAAGCATCAAACAGTGCTGGCAAAAGGAGAAAAGTTTTGAAGATCCCCAAGACAGCAGGCATCTACTTTCTGTCCAAGCATCACCCCAGGGTTCTGCTAGACTCTCTACAGACAATCAAAAAGCAATTTAATTTGCATCAGCTGTGCCTTGAACTTGCACTCAGAGACCACCCCAACCACTTCTCTCCACTAGACCAAGCTGGTAAGAGATGCAGGTCTTCTTCCAGCTGCCCCGAACACCATGGGGCTGGAGGATAGACAACATCCACTGCCAAGACATCCTGGCTGCTTGCCCAGCAGAGGACTTGCTTCCAGATCCAACTATCAGAACTAACCTGGAAAAAGGGAGGGGGACATTACTTTGTGGGAGGGCAGAACGAACTGGGGCATTCTTGGTCAAAGCAGTGTGTTACTTTGGGCACCAGACTAATCATATGACTCAAGTCCTGCTTCCCCATCGCTCCACAGGGTGCTGAGCTCTCCCAAGGTCCTTAAGTGCTACCCACACACCAGCAAGCCATGAAAGACGTGGACCACATTACCTCTCCCCTTAGGGTGCTTGCAGCCGGGGAGGGGGAGGCTCCAAAGGCTGACAAACCTCAGCTGGAAGGGCATGCAGGGCCACGCTTTCATCTAAATCATGGAGCCTGATTCAGCACAGAGGTAAAACCCAGCTGAACCCAGGTCACTCCGTGCTTTGGGCAGACACAGCCTCGCTGCCTGTAGATGTCTGCTAGACCACCGAGTTGCAGCAAGAGCCCAACCTACATCACCCAAGGCGTAAGGCAGCGTTACCTGGTGCCTCAAAAGTGCCTCTACTACAAAGGTGAGGTTTCCTGCAGGAACCGATGCTCTAAAGATAATTTGTTCTACCTGTAGAAACAGAAGCCTTAGAACAGCATTAACAACCCCAAGTTATTCCTGCACCAACAGCCTCAGTAACTCCGCCGCTGTCACCTCAGAGATAAAACCACCAAACACCATGATCCTAACCTCAGCTGAGATGATAGAATCATCGAATGGTTTGGGTTGGAAGGGACCTTTGAAGATTATCTAGTTCAACCACCCTGCCATGAGCAAGACCATCCTTCACTAGATCAGGCTGCGCAAAACTTTATCCAACCTGATTTTGAACACTTCCAGGGATGGCACATGCACAGCTTCTCTGGGCAACCTGTTCCAGTGCCTCACCACCCTCATTGTAAAAAAAGTCTTATGTCCAATCTAAACCTACCCATTTTCAGTTTAAAACCACTGCCCCTTGGTCCTGTCAGTACAGGCCTTGTTAAAAAGTCCTTCACTTTCTTACAAGCCCTCTTTATATTTTGAAACGCTGCAATAAGGTCTGCCTGGAACCTTCTCCAGGCTGAACAACCCCAACTCTCTCACCCTTTCCTCATAGCAGAGGTGCTCCAGCCCTCAGATCATCTTTGTGTCCCTCCTCTGGACCCGCTCCAAGAGGTCCATGTCTGCCCTGTGCTGAGGACCCCAGAGCTGGATGCAGGACTCCAGGTGGGGTCTCACCCGATCGGAGCAGAGGGGCAGAATCCCCTCCCTTGACCTGCTGGCCACGCTGCTTGGGATGCAGCCCAGGACACCGTTGGCTTTCTTGGGCTGTGAGTGCACATTGCT